TCCGGAAAAGCCGATGTCACAATCTTAGGAAACATTACATTACTCAGATACTTCCGAAAATTAAAAAACACCTCAATAAAAGAAAACACTGACTTATTAGAATATCCTTACACAGATACCAAAGAACCATATCTACCACTAAGTTCAATCTATGTACCATTCTACTCTGTACACTCTCCATGTGCAAGATGACATATTGGATCAGAAAAAAATATATAAATTTTGCATGAATTCTTACTTCACAAAGCAACACTATGGATTAAATTCTTTTGCAATGATGTCTCAGCAGCCAAGTTTTTTTTTAACCACAGAATCCCATGGGATATAAAGGGACCTGAATCTTCATCGTCCGAAGGAAATTCATACAATATGTTCTTTGTAGAGTCATTTACACATTATGTAGCACTAAACCTAAAACATCATATGCTCAATGGACCAATCGACTAGTTGAAGGCATGAATCAGTTCTTACAAGAATACCTCCGATGTATTATCATTCTAGATGATTAAAAAACACTATAAAATCAAAAGATGTAAAGTTTTTATTTAATTCTCAAATCACATCAACATTCGCATTTTCACCCCATGAAATGGTGTTTAACCAAAACCCATAGCTCCTTCAAGTGTTTTCGGTGCCCTAGCCGTGACAGCTTTTCCCAGAAATGAGACCACTTCAATAAGCATTTCCTGAAATGCAAGGATTGAGTGAGGCATATTTACCCAAAAAACGTGAGTGAGCTCTGCGAAACCTGGTTTGAAAAATTGGAAGGTTTCAGCCTTTCAGCTCCTGAAGAAAACAAACTTTTTAATTATCTAGATATTTTTGATTTTCAGTGTCGGTTTCTGTTCCTATAGAAGAACTAAAAGAGACACAAACTACAACCTGGACTGTAAAATATAATCCAATTTTAGTCTCTATATCATCAAATTTGATCAATGAACCCATTTGGTTGTACAACAAGCATCCATAGAACTTGAGTACTGATTTTGCAAGCAACCTCGATTCAATGGCTGAGGAAAGTAAGCTGGAGATGAGAAAAAAATTTCAAGATAAAGAAGCAGCTGTCAATGAACGAATGAAAAAGATCTTTGATCTGCTGAACGAACGAGACAAATTATTCTATTAACAAAATGAATACAAATACCAGTGAATTGAAAACTCAGAAGAAGCAGATATTCAACACATTTTTTTATAACTCAAAAAGAATCAACCCATTGATTTGAAACAACATATTGAGATTTATTGGATTTTCTTGAGAATTTTTGGATTTCCTTACTTTACCTTTATTTGGATTTCACATGGGTTGATCAAGTCTTACTTCTTCCCTTGTTTGATTCGCGATACAAAAAACAGAAACATCAGACATCGAAAAAGCGAACGACTCTCTATATCTTTTATTTTTTGAGATGTACAATTTCTCAACATAATGAAACTTCTGGGTGCAGCATCCTTTCTGGACTCTTTTATCAAAGCCTATAAAGCTAGCGAAACGAAAAGATTTTCACGCTTTCAATGGTTTGACAACGAAAGCAAAACCCGATTTTCCCGAATTGCCACCGTATGAAGTCATTTTCAATAAACTGAGAAATATTTTTACAGACAAAGACTCTAAGGACTAGGAAAGACTGAGAAAGAATGGGTTTGATGGACAACAAGCACTAAAAAAATTTTCAATCAAGGCTCTGAATCCATCTGGTTTGGATATCTGCAGTTACTTACGAGAGATTTGGAAGAAAAACGGAATGAATGTGTTCAAAGACTTTCGCAGTTTTACAATAACAAGGATGTGCTTCCAATCCTGGAAGCAAAGCAAAAAATTTCAGTTTATTTATAAAAACGGAATAGACAGACATGTCGAAACTTCGATGTTTCTTTCCGAATCTAGCAATCATTTGTCGGCACAAATCTACAAATTATAATTTTTCTCCAATTTGCGAAAGTGACGAAGATTTGTGTGAAAAAGCACGAGAAGATCTGACAGGTGGTCTTTCGATTGTAATAATACGAAAAGATGTAGTTGATGAGACTTTCATCAGAAAAACATCGATTATTTGTAAGCCGATCGTTGGAATTGATGCAAGTAAGCTTTACCCGTTTTCAATGTGTCAAGTTGTGCCAACAGGAATGTACACCATGTAAGAGTTTGTCACCGGTATGCAGAAGTTTAAAGCTAAAATTAACCATTCGCGCAACTCTGAGAATATGGTCAAGTTATTATAACAGGAACGAAGACCAGAATGGGAACTTGTAACACTATAAATTTGTAAAGGTATGTAAATCAATTGTTGCATTTGATGCAAGCCAGCGCTACCTTTCTCAGTTTGTTAAGATGTGCCGACAGGTCTGTACACGAGATGGGTGTTTGACACCGATATACAGAACTTTCAAGCTAGACATAACCCATCACAGCAATCATACTCATGTCCTTCTACCAGAAAACAAGTTCAGATTGCAAAGTTGAGAGCTGTTTCACGTCTGGAAAACAGAAGATAATCGACAGTTTTAACGTGGAAGGTTATTATGATTGCAGTTAAACAGCATTCGATGCAATGGGATGTTACTATTATTTCTGTTCCTATCATGAAGCTCGTCCCTCTTTAATAGATCAGGACTTTGAACGTGGAATAAGAAGAGAGAGATGGATGATATGAGAAGGGAGTACATAAATGACACAGGATACGAAGTTAACGAAAAGTCGGAGCTTGAGTAGTGGGAAAATTTTAAAATCAACGACACGATCAAAATTTTTGTCAAAACCCACTTTCCTTCCCCATCAAAAGACTTCATCCCACTGACTCCCTTCAGGCAAAAACAAAAAAATGGATCTCTTTTTGCTATATTCAGTGTGATTTACTTCTTTCACATTACGAGGCCAAATTGTGCACTGGGTAGTAGCACAATTTTGTGTCTGTATGTTCCTGGATTCCAGAGACAAGTCTTTAAACATGTTTAAATTTTGTCGGAACAATCAAAGAAAATGAAAGAACAAAAGATAAAAGGGAGCGTCCTTGTCGCGGAATCCGCTTACGATGCACAAAATGCACAGTTTGGCCTCTTAATGCAGATTAAGCAAAATCAAAAATTGCTAACTTTCCTCCAGTTTTCAAAAACAAGGAAGTTGGAAGAAACGATATTGGAGACTACGACAAATGTTATGCAATTGAGAATGAATTGTTAGAAAACCCTCAGAGAATGCTGATATCCAGCTATAAGCTAGAAACAGGAACAATTATAACCCCTCATTTCAACTTTTATTTGAAACTCTGTTTGCACTGCACCAAAATTTACCGTTATGTTCAGTATTCTTCAGGAAAATGTTTCAATAATTTAATCAGTGTGTGATGTTAGAAGGGAAGGATATGAAAACCCTCTATCAGGATTAATAGAAGAAACAATGAAACCTTTGGGTAATTCCTCCAATGGATATCATTTTATGGATAGATCCAGACATACAATCACGAAATAACTCAATGATTAAAAGACTCATAAAGCACTCAAGGACCCTCTGTTAAATAAAAGATTACATAAAGTTGAGAAAGACTTGTAGGATTTGGAGTTGTTGAAAATAACCATTGACCACAGAGAACCCATTATTGTATGATTTTTCAGAATTCAGTATACAAAACAGAAAATGTTGACGCTGTACTACAACTTCTCTGACAATTTAAGTAATGTAATCAATTTTGAAGAGTTGGAGATGGACACAGACTCACTTTACTTAGCACTTGCTGAAGAAAACTTTTATGACTGTATCCAGTCAAATAAGAAAACCATTTGAGAAAAATGATGCAAAATGACTGCAGAGACTCTTTTAAGGCAGAGGCAAAATCGAATTTCTTTTCACGAACGTGTTGCAGTATTCACAAAATGTATGATAAGCGGTAGCCGGGACTTTTCATAGAGCATTTAAGGTCTACGGCAATGCTATGCTGGTGTAGCAGGACTTAAATTGCTGTGGCAACAAGTCAGTTAAGTTCAGTTTCAGTAGTAATTGTCTGAACGAACGATTTCTAGGGTACAACTCAAACAACATCGAAGCCATATGCAATTGGATGAAAAATTGTTTTTTATCACGGTGCCCATGGAAGCTTAACTTACGATATCCACGATAAAAACTGGATACCCCTTATCAGAACAAAAAATCCCTCAAATTGCAAAGATAACACCAAAAAAAACTCGGTGTGAACAGGCGAACAAATTTTCACAAGTTATCTTACATGCAAAATGCCATGTGAACAGCTTTTTTTTGAAATTTTACGAGAGGATGGGAAACTGGAAAAGAGCCGAAAAGTTTTATGCAAAAAGGCTCTATTCCACTTTTTCCCCCACCTTTAAATATTTTATTTTATTTACAGTTGTTTTAAGGGAATCTTGATTTAGGGGAATCCCCCCGCAGGGATTCGACCCCTGCCGACCCAAAGGTGTCCCCTTCTGTACTATTTTGTGATTTTGTGAACTATTGGCTGTTTGATTCTAGAATTTTTCTAAAAGCGCCATGGGCGCCAAAAAATATATATTTTGAGAGGGACAGCGCACCAAAAAACGCTGTTTTTTTTTGCAAAAGTTTTCCAAAAAGTGCCTAAAAACGCCTTTTTTGTCTGTTTTTTTTTTGTTGAAACCGCCCCCGGCCCTTTTTCCTAATTGACATGCAGACTAATTATAGGCCATTGCAAACATATTTGGTCTTCATAATCACCTTGTTAAACCATTCCTTAGACCATAAAATTGATGCTCGTGTGAGGTGGGGGGGGGGGGGGGGGGTTTGGAAAAGAGCCAAAGTGGCTTGCTTTCATTATTTTCGAAGAATTGCGAAGACATTTGCATTTGATTAGTGGATTATCATTTTCCATAATGAGATCATGTTTTAACCTATCAGCGCGGGAATTCACATCTGACTCTTTGATTTCTGCCGCGAAAGTCATTTTTCATTCACAATTTTTAATCATTCAAGAGTAAGTCGGTCGAAAGTGGGAGAAATTGTCATGAACTTCTCGAAAACAATGTGGTCAATTCTCGCCCTAATTCTGATTTGCCTTCAAATATCTCAAGTTCACGGTACAGGTGTGGCTACATCTACTGCTGCAGGTAGTGAACCCACAACTGCCCCTACAGTTGCGGCGCCCACAACTGCTGGTGGTTCTGGTGATGCTCCTACGACAGATTCTCCTACCACGAAAGTAGCTCCTACTGGATCAGGGACAGGCGCTATTACTACACCAGGTACAAAAAAGGCTTTCTTTTTCAGTTCCGTAAAATTGTGAAATCTTAGTAAAATATTATTTTCTTTTTGAATTCGTTTGAAGTCATAATCAAGAAAAAATATAATGTTAAAAAAATTAACGTATTGTACACTCTGAAGTGGTTGTTGAAATAGCATTAGTAAAAGATGATTTTCGGTTTGTGAAACTCGCAGAAAATTGTGTACACCCAAAACTTGTCCAAACATCTGGTCAATATTTTAAAATATGCTCAGCTCAAATGTGAAACGTTTTAGCGCTGGTTTTGGAAATTGCTTTTCCTGTTACAGTGTTATAAGTTTTGTGACATGCAGTTTTTAGCGATATCCATATTTGTATCACTAGTATGTTTGGTTCGAGGAAAATTTGGACGCTCAAATGCTATCTTTTTTTGCTAGAAATAAGAAATATATAGGATGAGAAAAATTTGCTTAGAGATGACTTGGCCGGCTCAAACTAAATTTCAGAAAACTAAGAGTAGTCTGTTTTTATTGTCTTCTATCCTGAAAAACGTCTACTTTTTTTTCTTGAGGGTACTCGTTGATATTTTCTCCGAAAAATAGTTGATAAATTTCTCAACATGATCGATCTGAAATGATATCTCTTAAAGGCGGCTCTTTTCCCTTCACCCCTTTTACTTGTACCACCTTACCTGTATACTTCAAAAATTTTACAGGTGTGGGGGGGGGCTTAGGGAAAAAGAACCCCTTTAAACTGTAAATATACCATATCTGAAATGCACTATAAACGTTAGGGGGAACTAACGATAACGGAACCACTGCCGCTGCTAATCCCACTACTCCTGCACCTACCAAGCCGACGACGACGACAACGAAGGCTTCCGGGGAAGATGAAAAAGAAACAACCGCTGACAACGAAACCGAAGAACCCACCACCACGGGCAAGACCCAAATGACCACACCAGCTGTCGGAACTATCTGCGCTGCAGCGGTCGGAGGATACCTGCTGGCTGCAAACATGATCAACTACCATTAAACAATGCCGTCGTGACTCTTCTTTGGATTAAAAAACTGAACTGACAGAATGACCGTTGAAACAATGTAAAAACTTCATTTCAGAAACACCTTATTTTCATTAACATTTTGTTTCCAGCCTAGAGGCATCTGGATTTTTGGCCTTTGCTTAAATTATGAGCATGCTGCAGAGGATTTGCTGACAACATATGCTATTTTCTCTGATTCTTAATTTGTCTGTATGGAAAACATAACGCGATGTTGAAAGGCTGGATATTTAAGGACGCTTAAAATTTTCTACTAGCAATTTTGTCAACTAACTAACCAATGAAACCACGCATTTTTAAAGAAAATATATCAGAAATTCTCAAAAAAACTTCAGTAATCAGCCAGATTGTTTTGAGACGCTCGATAGCAGACTAGATTTGGATACAGTAAAAGCGAATTATAAAACTGTTAATTTTGTTCACACTGCCCAATTGTCATAAAAAAGGCCAGCACACATAACTATTCGTAATATGATTGTCCCTTAAGAATCATATCAGGAAAAGGCGGTAAAAAGACAGTCATGATTTGTTGGAACTTCATTACTAATAATTTGACTTCATCAAAACAATAACGAACAATTAAGACTTAGAAATGAGCATTTCAAAGGGACCTAAAACTTTAAAAAAAAAACGAAGTCAACAGCGCCAGAATAATTCAAATCAGACCCCAAGATGAGGCAAACTGAAGACACAGAAAAGACAACCGAAGCCCTACCTTCAGTTTTGGGATCTACTGCAGATTCTTACTACATCAGACAGGTCAATCACTGCATCAATCATGAAATTCCCCTTCATCAAGGTGTTACCTCTTTAGTACTTCATCAGAGCGTACTTCCATCAACTATCAGTGCCCACGACTACTGCAGCAAAACTGAATTTCTGATACCAACAAAATGATACAACCGAAGACCGCGAAACATTTGAATCTTACCGGCATTATCAAGGACATATTCAACTTCCAAAACCCAAGCTAGATCAAATTTTAACAAAACAAATCTACTCCTCTGACATATACGGATGGTTGATTAAACGATCGGTAAATACTCAAAATAACACAGGTACACAGAGCAATCTGCTCCTAATTGTGGACGTACCATCCGCCATTCGAAAAAGTATGTATCTTACTCGTCGTTTTCCCAGTGTTAATCCAGGCTCGATTTGAACAAGTTGATGTGAACGCTGGGAATAACAAACTCTGGTAGTGAGGTTTAGTCGTTTTTGGCTGCTATAGTGAAGAAGCTACTTCGTAAACAAGTTCGTGACTTTCTTGTTATCATTTTACACAGATTTCCACGAGAATTTCTTTCGTTTATTGTAAATATTCATCAGTTGCTCCTACATCATAAACACAGTTTAAAATTTTGTACATTTCTATCATACGCCCTTGTTTTTTTTTGTACTCCACGGGAGGAAGCTTCAAAATTTTCAATCTTTCATAGCATATTCAATCTTTCATTTGCAAAAGCTTGGGGTTAATCTGGTTGTCCTTCGCTGAACATTTTCAACCGCGACCCTGTCTTTTTTTCAAGAATGGGTTCTACGATTGAATGGCGTATTCCAGATGCGGTCTCACCAAGTTTTTGTAAAGAGTCGCCATGATTTCCCCAGTCAATTTCAAAAATCCTTTCTTTATAATTGCAGGCACAATTTTTCCTAACTTTGTTTTCTTGTACAATGTAGAAAACGAGAAAGATCTGGTAATCATCATTGACTCCACATTACTGTTCCGAGAACATGTTGATAAGAAAACAGAAATAGCTAATAGTATGGCTGCAATTATAAAGAAAAAAATTTTGAACCTAACGAAGTTTTCGTAAATATGAGTTAGAACAATATTACGGTAATAATTGGACGTTTAAACAATTAAAGCCAACTTTTTGGGCCAGAAAACTGTTGGCTATCGACTTTTCGGTTTTCAGTTTTTTCCTATAGAGTGATATCGGTTTCTTTTGGATAAGTACTACTTTGTTATCCCGAAGATTAACAATAAAATGACCAAATGACACTAATTGAAGGCATTTTTATGCAAATAGGTTTTTAATAGGTGAATCAAATCAAATTGCACTTCGCTTTCTTTGCTCTTACCAAAATGGTTTGAGGAATTACGAATAATCGCGACTTATCTTTGGTGCAAAATAATCAGCATCCATTGCCATCCTTGGGCTTCATCAAACAGCCAAAAAGTGCTCAACTGCTACAAAAAACATCAAATGAATGACTTAATTCTTTCATTAGTCAGCAAACGAGACTAGAGAAGTATTCATACAAAAAGAATCGTCTCTAGGAGAGGGGTGAATCAACCTAACTAAGTTTAGTCTAACGCAAATTCTACTCCGTTAATGAATGTCAAAATTCTACTGATGCGACAGTGCATCGTGTCCTAGCACTCAAATGACACACAACTGACGCTACACTTATTGTGCAACCAACAAACAAGGTAGAATTACTATAACATCTATACTCAGAACAGTCCTCCCCTACAAAGCAATGTTTTTGCCCCATTAGGTAATCTATTGCTGTTTGCAAGAAGATTTAAACTCTTCTATGAAAACTGTGGAAGTCAGGTATTTCCTGGGATGAACCCGTTCACAGTGACTTTGTTGCAATACAACCGTCATCTAGTGACAAATCGCTTCATGTCATCTGCGAAGCGTCCCAAATTGCAATGGCTACATGTATCTACCTTCAAACTACAGGCAACTCCGGAATAGGCTATCGCTACCTTATTGATTGGCAGAACAAAGGTAGCATCACTGGACCATGAAAGCATTTCAAAATTGGAGTGAACCTTTTTGGGTGTACTTCGCTACTGACGAAATGCGAATGAAGTCAAAGTCTACTACTTATTGGATGAACGGCTTTTTGTAGAGTTGAAAAGGGTTTCCGTCCGCAGTTGATGATGAAACAACGCTTGGCCGATGTGCGTGCACCAAATCAGTGATGGCCTAAGCAGTAGAGGCACAGTCTACTTTGTTTGGCCATGTCTGCTCGTTGAGCTAGATCTGTCTTAGTATTGTCAGGACAGAGAATCAAATTGCTCGTTGATCTAGATCTCAGTTTGCTCGTTGATCTAGACCCGTCTTAGTTTCCCTGGACAGAGAATTAAATTGCTTGGGCTGGTTGTCGGATTGTTGCTGATTCGTCACTCGGCGATCTTGTCCCTTTTCGGCTTCCTTTTGATGATTCTATGTCCAGATTCTCATTTACTTGCGAGTTCTTGTTAAGCTACTGCGTAAAGTCTTTCAGTGTAACTTAATTGAGGTCGTGCAGCACACAATATTCTTCCTAGTTCATTAGGAAACTTAATAGGTAATTTTAGAGAGCAAGTCGGGGTACGTTATTAGATTTCAGGTCAGCTGGGTAGCCGTTGACTTCGAAGATGTGAATTAGTTTCCTTCGAAATGCAGAATATTCGATAAAACATTTTGGTTTCTTTTATATCAATTTGTAAAAAATTCACTAGTTCCCTGATAAACTCTGACACCACAGTTTTTGGATTGCCATAACTACGCACTAACTAAAGTATACCATGTGCGTACTGAGTAGAAATGGTTCCGTAGCTTTCCATCATTGATTTAGCTTTTTTTACATACTGACTTTAGACCTGATTTTTTGCCTATTGCTGTCTGAAAGAGTTCGAAATAGTTGTTCTAACCCCGTTCGTTACTGTCAAAATTCTCCAGTTAAACTGAATCCTTTCAGAGTGTAGTTATTTCAAGTTCTCAGATGATTGGTAATGTAACTGCTGAGTAGTCTTTTTTCATTGCAAAAAAAGAGCTTCTAGCAAACATTTGATTGCAAGTTCCTCCTAGGGTGGTCTCTGAAGTGGTTGGTAATGTACATTTCAATTGTAGTAACTGTACTATTCGCGATTGAAGAGTTTAGAAGTCTTATCTATTATTGTCAGTTCACACCTGAGCTTTGTTTTTTGAAATGTGGTTCAAAAAGGGATTGGCATTTAAATCTTGTGGAGGCGGGAAATTGTTTTGTAGAGGAGCATGAAAGTCGGAAGTACTCAAAATCTAGGTAGACGTGAAAGTAAAAAAAATGGCAGCCGTAGTACCAATGATTTTGTTGGCTAAGTTTTTATCAGTATTTGAGCTCCTTACTCGTACATTGGCTTTTGCTGATGTGCTTTGCACTCTGAGTGGGCTGCTTAAACTTGTAAAATTGGAACTTCAGTTGAGTGGAAATTTTTTCGTACTTCAGAATATTATTTTTTATTAAGCCGCAATTTTGCAATCGTACCGTCAAGATCGAGGCAGTTTTCGGCTTCATGGGTGGAAAACGCGGTAAAGTTGTCTGTGCAATTAGCGAGCAGATCAAATCAAGTGGTTACCTCCTCGAAACTGAGCTTAATGTGTTGTTACCTCTTCCTCAAGCTGCTTTTTATCGTTTTTTTTTGGAAGTCGAACTAGAAAATTTTGCGACAATCTAAAGTTTTAGTAAATTTGAGTTAAAGAAAACTTTACGTTTTTAATTTGGCTTTTGAACTTTTGAAGCAAACCTTTAGGGCCAAAAAACGTTGATTATCGAGTCTTTGGCTATCAGTTTTTTCTCATATGGGAAATTTGTGCTTTTTTTAGATAAGTACCCCGAGGATTAACATTAAAATGACAAAATTAACACTAAGTGATGGCATTTTTGTGCAAATAGGTTTTAAATAGGTGGATCAAGTTGCACTTCGCTTTCTTTGGTCTTACCAACGTGAGTTGAGGCAAAACCAAAGCCTGCGACAATACCAAAATAGTCTTCTCTACAAAAGGAATGGTTTTTGCCCACTTCGGTATCGTAGCACCGTTTGCCAGAAAACTTAAATTCTTCAACTAAAACTGTAGAAGTTTGGTATTTCCTGGGACGAACCCGTTTCCGGTGACTTCGTTACAATAAATGTCAAACAGGTCAATCAATGCAACCAATGCCCCCTGTGAGCCTCCGCCGCCTCATTGGACAACGACCGGCATCTAGTGACATA